AAAGTAGAGGAAAAAAAAATTACCAAGTCATTCTGTAACGTAGTTTCATGTCCCCTGATGAAAAAAAGGCTATAAACTCTAATAACTGACTCGTGAGGCTTCCCTATACCTGCACTACGTGTTTCTCAGCTTTCAGCTATACAAGTTTTGGTATACTCCCCATTGCTCAGGAAAAGTCACAGTCCAAGTTGCTGCTTAATGCTGTAACAAAAACAGGCTTCCAAATAAGTATCACAGCACCTTTTCTAAAGCCCATATATCTTTGTAATCTACAAAACTACCTAGCAAGCCATAGCATAGTGAGGTAACAAAACATCAAGAAATCTCTGGATACCAAGATCTAACTTTAAAGGTTAGTCTGTAAATATCAGTAAAAGCAGCAAAAGCTATGCTAGTTTTCCCTGGTCTCCGAAGGACATTGCATCATCAGGCAAGAGTTCTGCTTCTGAAAGGTCTAGCACACGGAAGAAGCCAGCTGAGAATTACTTGATCCTTTCAGCGAGTTCACTCTCTCAGCACCAGTGGTTCCATACGCCTGTTCAATCACAACAGTACATGAACAGGTCTAACACTCTATGGTAAAGAAACTAATAACATTCACATATCTGGAAATTCAAACATCTGCAGGGAAGGGATTGGACAGACAAGGCAATGTCTAGAGGCACTGTTCATGGCTGCTCACCCCTACATTCTGTAGCTTATGGTTTAAAGCACAAGCTTTCAGCTAGAAAATAAACAGACTTCCAGCCCTCAGTTTGTTTTCACCCAGATACTGCTGTCGAAAATCTGCTTTTGATCACAATTTTCAGCCTGGTAAGAAATATTTCACCACTAGCATTTTTCCCTTCTAGCTAGATTTCTATAGTTTTATAAACTGAAGCAGAGATAAGAACATATGTTGAGCCCAAATAATTACTTTCCATTTCTGTGAATTAACACAGACATTTTTATACTATTTAGCAATAAAGAAATTGCATTGACATCGTTTTGACACATCTAAAAAAAATCATTTCTAGCTCCTTATGGTCCCTAAAAGGGTCAAAGATGATTTATGGTACCACTGGTATGTTTAGCTACCTCACAATAACTATAATTCAAGATAGTTTTGGCTATATGGATCTCATCATAAACACAATGCATATCAGCCCCAAAACTTGTGTTCAATTGCTTGATTGTCCTTAGACACGCTACTAGCAATGCCTCAGGTGACAGTTCAAGAGGTGACTAGAACCTGCAGACTGAAGCACAGTGGGCTGGGGGCAGAGGTTGTTTTTTAACAAAAAAAGAAAACCAAACAATACCACCCCCTTACACACACACTACATAACCCACAAACCCTCCTTAGTTAACATACTTCCATCAAAGTATATGTAGCACAACAGTTGCTACTATTGAGTCATTTCCTCAAGTATTTCCTACAGAAATGCTGTTTCTTGACATACGCAAAGCCTTTTCTTTTATCAGAGGTCAATCTTTTCTGACAGGTAATGCTGTATTTTTGAATATATAAAAACTGGACTTTATATTTAATACCACAGCCACAAATTTAGACTACGTGAAGATTCCTTCATTAGCATTATATAGATGGGTAGTCTACCCATCAGGGCAGCAGTCATAATGGCCACACTGAAGAAAGCTATTTTAGAAGAGTTTTGTTCCACTGCATGCAAGATATTTAAAAACCAGCTGAATCCAAGATAAAGAACAGACTCTAAATCACCCATACATGCTCCATGGTGCAGTCCCATCACAAAAGGATGTTGGGAAGGTTTATGTCTTGCATTCTGCTTGCAAGTGTAATTGTCAGATTCTGAAGGAAATCAGGAAGACAAAGAGCCTAGGAACAGGACACATGCTGAAGAATGAATAATGGTTGTTTGTTTTAGATAAACCTGAGGACAGTCCCAGTTACAATGGCTCTTGAAAGAAGAAGGGTCATTGGTATCACATTCCTGATTTGAGAACATTTAGTTCAGCATGTCCTAGGGAAGTTGGTACACTGACATTAAATGGCATTTTCCTCATTTTAAGCTATAAGCCATCTTCACAGCATTTCCTTCCTGATCACCCCACTGATTGCACATTTCTACAGGGATCTGAAGAATAAAATATTGCATACCTCCTGAAATTTTAAAGGGTCTTTTCTACCCCTAAAGATGCTTCTATTTCTAGACTAGCATTCAGCAAAAAACTAGTGAATTATACAGACTGAACAGAGGTAGAACAACTGTGTACACTTACCCTAAACCTGATCTGGAGAACAGCTATAGACATCACTCATTATTCCTTTTCAAGAGAGTTTAAAGAAACCAGTACTCCACACAATGAAAAAACAAAACATATGCCACCCTTAATGAAAGCGACAGAAAGATACTTGGTAAGTTAGTACTGTTGTTGGGATGCTAAGTCAAATGGAAGGAACATGAAGCCTGTGAATTTTACCTGTGGGATGCACACACTTGTGCATCAGGCATTACACAGGAACAAGCCTCTTAAAAAATAAATCAATATTTATTAGCTATTTTTCTGGAACTGAAAAAGATATTAGTTCAAGAAAAAGGTTTTACCCCAAACTTAAAAACTGAAGTTCAGGCTTAAGCTGCTCATCTTTCCCTTGAATAAAGGATGTGCAGGAGTAACCACAAAAATAGGTATTATCAAAGCTCAGTAGTATTCCATGCAGAGTGCCTGAAGAATATGTTAGCAGCAGATACAGGCTCAGTGAGAGTAAAGTACAACTACAGCATTAGTCTGTAAGACTTCTTGACCAGTGTCGCCAGTGTCTTCCTCAAAACAGACTTCCACACAAGTGTAACCCTTTACCATGACTGGAAATACTGGCATAATACATATATAAGTGGTTGCTTTGTAGAATTGTTGTCAGGTGTAGAAGCCTGACTTCCATCACTGTACCCTAACCTCACTATTAATACTCCACAAAGTGTCTTGAATTTGTTTTCAGCTGTTTATCCAATATTAACAGAACTCTTTAATAGACTTCTGCCTCTCCATTTGCATCACCATGTGGCAAGTAGCGGCAGGGTGAAATAGTACACTTTTCCCCTGTCTCCTCCCTCTACAAAGACTCTTAAAATGTTTATACGAGCACAGAAGTAGTTCGCCAAGTAAAAGAGCTCAAGTTCTGTACAAGCCATATGCTTGTTGTGTATTCTGTGGAACTAAGTGCTCCTTGACAAATCGGTATTCTATATAAGAAAATGTACATACACATTATTCTGTGCATTTGTATTACACGTGTATATATGCCTGTATACTTGGAAAACACAGAAGACTTTCCTACAAGCCGCTGACATACTAATCAAGTTCACTCAAGACATATGTGCCACTCTGTTAATTTTCTTCAAAATAACTCCATTCATTTTGTTTACAGTTAAAATGTAAATGTTTAAGATAATTCATTACCACAGAGCCCAGCAAACTGGTACTAAACAGAGCTGGGATAAAATATAGAAGTATCAGTATAGTTTGTGTAAGCATTATTAAAGAGTTCAGAAAAGCATTTATCCTATTTTCATATACAGTATTACAGCACAGTTAGAACATACCTTCCAGAAGTTTTTGTAAGCTGGATCTCATTACATGAATATTTTCAATGCCAACAAACTGGAACCTGATATTAGAGTAGTTGTCTTCATTCTCATAGCCCTTCCCAGCAGCTCTGTTTGCCATTGCATTAAGCTTAAAAAAGGAAAATAAAAATACTGAAAACCAGTACTTGAAATAAAAATCTCAAATTAAAAACCAGAAGTCATGCAATTTCAAAGGAATACACAAAAAAACCACAAGAGCACGTACTATAAGCTAGATTCTAATAAATTAACAGTTTGTGGCAAATGAACTTGAAAACATTCAGCTGTAAGAAAGGAAGGAATGGTACATAAAGAGCAACATATTTAGAGGTGACATATCTGAATAATGCATTTAGTAATTTCCTATTCTCTCCGCCACATTCCTACCAAACCTTTACTTATTTCCACATATTTGAGCAAAGACACTACAAAACAATTAACCTAAAAAGGAAAGAGTAAGAACCAGACTTCGCCATACACTTTCCAGGCATCCTGAAAACGTCAATTTTGGGGCTAATAACCTAATAAATTGCTGCAGCTATAAAAATTACAACTATTAAAAAACCCCATGGTTAGCTCAGTTTCAGTCTGTCACAGCAACCTACAGCTGAACCCTGCTCAAAATAAGTGCAGATCCTACAGTGTAGGATTTTCGGTTTATATCCTTGTTTTCCCGCTCCTGTGTTCAGAGATTGGAGTGAAATTAATACCATTTTAAATGTAGATGGCCTAGAGAGTGAGAGTTACCCTATAAACTCCAACAGAGATCAAAACCCCTACAATCAATTCAACTTAATTAGTGATGAACTATGACCTCAGATTGCTAGAACAGAATTTCCCGTGTCTTCCTAAGACGCATAACAA